GTCGCCGAGCCTCGACTGCGCACAGCCCGGCGCGGGGGCAAAGTTGCGTGCGGCCCCGCGGCTGTCAGCCCGCACACTCCGGCTCACACAAGCGCGCGACGGAGAACGCACCATCGTAGCGGCCGCCAAGGCTGCTCGCCGCGTCCCCGGACTGTGCCCGCGGCTCCCGGAGGCGGCGGCGGCTGAAATATGGCTGAGTTATTATTCGCCTCCTTCCACCGTATGTGAGTGTGTGTGAGTGCGCGCGTGTGAGCGAGAGTGCGCTTCTTGCGATTGCAAAGAGAAGCGAAGGGGGAGGGAGGCGCGGGGGGTGGAGGGGCGAGTGTGTGTGAGTGTGTGAGTGTGTGTGTGTGCGCGCGCCGGGGTGGGGGGGAGGTGTGGAGGGAGGGGAGCGGAGGCTGAGGGAGAGGCAGCAGCTCCCTGCAAGCCGTACCAACCTTTTTCTAATTGGAACCGCGGAGCGCTGGCGCTGTCTGAGCTGCGGCGGCGGCATAGGGCGAGGAAGGAAAGGCGGAGGGAGGGGGGTGTCTTTTATTATTATTTCTGCATGTACTTACCGAGCTAGCCATGCCTGGGGGCCCGGAGGTTTGCTGGGGTGTTGTGTGGTACCCCCCTCCCCCGCCCCCCTCAGCTGTAATTCATGAAGAGGCTGCTATGAATGAGAGCGCGCCCAGGAGCGGAGGGTAGATGGCGGACATTCTCTGCCTTTTTCCCCCGCGTTCGCTTGCTCTCTCGCTTATTAAACTCAGCCCCAAAAGCAAAAGCAGCAGCAGCAGCAGCAGCTCCAGGGCCAGAGGATGAGATTCCGGAGCATGCGCCGTGGCGCCTGACACCACGGCTCCAAGCCTCACGGGGCGGAGGGAGGGCGCGCGGGCGGGGCGGAGCGCGCGGGGAGGCCGAACGAGCGAGCCAGGGGGAGCTCGAAAGAGCCAATCACCGGCCACCTCTCGAAACCCCGGCGGTCGGCTCTGCCACACTGGAAAGCCTCGCTTAAAGTAACAGGTTCTTGCTGGGGGTGGGGTGGGGAGGGCGGAGAGAAGGGCGGGGATGCCGGAGTATGGAGAGCGGCCAGCTGGGGAGCGGTCCCAGCCCCTGTGTAAACTCCTCTCTTCCTACAATAAAAAACGGATTAAAACTACTGGAATGTAGCCACTGCCTAGAGATCCCAGCAGCCGGAGAAGGGGTGCCAAATCAAGTCTTCGTCGTTAGTTAGCAAGCTTGGGGGGAGGGAGGGGGCTTTCTTTAACTTTCCGCGGCGTCTTTTTGTGGTTTTGTGCTGACAAGACAAGAACTCACACCCAAACAAACTTATTTAAAGACAGAGCAAGAGAAATACCACCCTTCAAATAAGCATCAAGAAGCAATCGCTGAGACTATTATAAACCGCAACAAGCCCCCGGCCTTCTTCCCCCATCCACTCACGGACACCCCGCCCATCACCCCGCCCTTTTGCCACTGCTACCGAGAAATATAAAAATGAAATGAACGCGAGAGAAACAAGAATGCTATTTCCTTCCAAGGGAACGCCTCCCGCGTTGTTAATCCCCGACTGGGAGGCATCACAAAGCGGTGCCCAGGTGAAGGCGAGACACCTGGGAGTGGCGGATGCAGACCCTCGGGAACCAGGCTTGGAGTTGTTTTCTTCGGAATATTTCCCCTCCTGACAGCCTGCTGGGTTGCATCAGAACGTGGAGGATTGTCCTCTGAGGACGCTCGGGGCAACTGGGAGCCTTAAAATAGCAGATAAAGTTAATACTGACTGTAATATGCATAAATTGGATTATAATCTTTAGGCGTATTGGTGACAGCCAACGTAATCCCATCTCTGGCTATTAATCCGGTTAGGTTCCCGAATGACAACCAGTCGCAGGAGAGTTCCCAGAGTCGCGCGCCTGCAACGTTCCTCTCGAGTTGTGTTTGGTCTTGGTGGCTAGGGAGAGAACAGCGCAGCCACACGTGGGGCGGGGTGAGGAGTACTGACTAGCTTCCTTTAGCAACGCAGACAACCTTTTCAAAGGAAACAGATAAGATCTAGACGATTAATTTGAAAGTGAAAGATGGGTGTAACTTCGGTTCGTTAAATAAAGATCCTTGCATCTTCCTAGACCTCATTCCATTTTTGCCATCTTTTATCTTCTTTCTTTTTTCCCCTTTCCCCCTCGCCTCCGAATTTCTTTCTAAATTTTTCCTTTGGATTCATTCTCTTCTCCCTGCCTTCGCGCTTTACTTGCCTCTCTGGCTCAACTTTTTTGCTTTCTTTTCATTTTTCTTTCTTAAAACCACGAAAGCAAGCTGTCTTGGCCCTTGAATTAAAGAGAGCAGAGCGGTACAGGGGAAGGAAGTTACCTGGGCACCCTGGGTCTTCGTTGTTAAATTTCAGTTCTCTCAGCTAACAGAAAGATACCCGAATCAGACTCAACCACCTGGAGCCAACTTTAATTTCATCCAAGCCTACAACTCTAAAGCTGATATTCTGCCCTCCCCCACTTAGAACCGAGAAAACTTTTTGGCTTGAGGACTCCAATTTCTCCTATCTTTCTATTGGGTTTAGCACAGAGTGGAGAAACAATTGAGGGGAGAAACATTTTATTCCAAGTCCAAGGACTTAGATCTCTCAACTGACCTGCATATACACAGTTGCATATCATCTTGTAGGTAGGTGTGAGTGGAGGTGTGTCTGCCTGTTATGTAAGGACTAAGTTTATATACACAGACAAGCTATGTGTTAGGATCTACGTGAAGGGTGGACCTACTTCCTATGCATTATTAAATTTTCGATAAAATAATCAAATTGGAAACTAATGGCTATCTGGATGTGCCATCAGTAAAGCCATTTCCTATTAGGAGACAGCTACTAGGCAGCGAGCGCAGCTCAGCTGAAAAGCAATCCTATTCTTCGTTTGAGTTGACTTCAAGGTTTGGGTAAATTCTTCCAATGCCAACTGGGCTCTCTTGTAATTGTACTCGCGCTAAGGAACCAATGTGTCCTTTTTGAATTATGTATTTGCTGGATTCAGGTTTATTCCAGGAGTCTCCAAATAAGGCGTAGTCGGAGAGACTATTTTCCCTTTACCCATCGTTTCTCAAAGAATGCTTTAAAAAACGAATATAGGGGTAATTCTTTCTCCAGACCCTGGTAATATAGATTCCGTCAGTAGATGGCGCACAGAGCCCTTCCACGGACGTCCTTACGTGACCTCTCTAGAACAAAAAGACCAGAAGGGGGAGAAAAGAAAGAAAACACAACCCTGAATACTCTAGATTCAACTTTAGGGCAAAGGAATTTCTGCCAGCCTTTCAAGTTAGTATAACATTCTAACAAGTTGGCTATTAATTAAAAGCAATCAAAATAGAAAAAACAGCAGATTAATTTTGTGTCCAGCACTTCTGAAGATCTGCACTTTAAGTGAGGTACAAATGTGAGAAACAACGTTTTGAGTAGTTAACAATCTAATTTTAGATAACATTTTGCAAATGAACTTTAAGACAAACTTTTTGCATACTGAATACCAAGATAAATAAATATATATTGAAGTGATAAGGGATAAAACCGTCTATTTATACAAAAAAAACCCAGTTATCATACCAAAATTTGTACTGTAGGACTTAGTACAGTATGAAGCACCATAAGGTTAGTTTTGAGGAGCAGAAAAGAAAAGTCATTGACATTGTAATATCAAATAAAATGCTTTATGAAGAATAAAAGAGAACTGTCTGGGACAAATCTTAACTCCTCATCATTACCACCACAACCCAACCACCATCATTTTGGCCCTAGTCCTTTTATTTGCAATTGACTTGTTTAGTTTGGAAGTTGACACCAGTTTGGATGTTTCTAGCACATAACTTCTTAAAAGAGTAATTATGGTGTTAAGAAGCAGCTGGGTTTTTTTAATAGAATTTTTTTCAATTTATTTGTTGTGATGGATTATTGATGTACAACTCAAATAATCAAAATAATAAAAAATAATGATTGCTCATGCTTTGCTGTATGGATTTGGAGGAAAAGGAAGATGCATGGAAAAAAAGCAGATAATGGGACAGACATTAACCAGATATCTTGCAAATATTAGACTCAGAACAATTAAGCATTTTTTTTCCTGTAATGGTGAACTTTTTCTGTGTACTTCACCCATGCATTTATTCACCAGACTATATTTTGCACAATCCATGTGCCAGGCACAGAGTCAGGTTCTAAGAATATAAGAATGACAAGGTTCTTGCTGCCACAGAGGGGAGAAGTTTCACCAAAACCATTTTTTTTTAAATTTTATACTACCTAAATTTTGAAAAGAGATGTGTATCACACATAAGCAAGCAGCACACAAATATGACATGAACAGCCAGCCCAAGGACAAGAAAAAGAGTGGCACAAGATTAGAAGCCAGGAATCATTGCCCTCAATTCCACTTTTTAATGCTTACAATAAGGGGGGAGAAGAGTGATCTCTTATTTGCAACAGCAGCCAAGTCCTAATTTCCTTTTCCTTGATCTTAAAACATTTTCTCTGTTCACCTTATTGCAGCTCTTCTAAGAAAAAAAAAAAAGCTCACAACGAAAGGAAGCTACTAAGCCTTCTTAAGATCATGAGCATATTCTCTCAATTGAGATGGTCTCCCTGTTTCTTATGAAAATTTTTGGTTCAAAATGTTACATTTTGAACACTATATTTAATTCATGATTCTGGGATAGTGTATTAGGAACCCAAGAATAGTATAATAGTATGAATCATTACTACTTTGAAAAAACAATTGCTTTGATATCTACTTAAGCACCTAGTCATGGACTAGTTCCAGAGATAAGAAATATACAAAGATTTTTTTAAACACCAGAGCCTCTTCATGTGTAAATTATTCCCTGAGAGTAATTTAAGCAATACATTTATACTTTCAGAAGTTAAGAATGCCTCCACCATAATAATTAATTAATTTAGTGGGCTGTATCCCTAATTTAATAAATAGCATCTAAAGGCTTGAAAGTTAATCAAGGATATTACATAAGATCAACTATATGAAAATAAATATTGGAGGTCAATTGATATAGTGTGATTTAAAATGTCTTCCTACCAATAAAAAGAGTAGAATATTTATTTATAGGTAAAACATATATGAAATTGAAATTACTTGCTGTAAAACAATCTAAACAGTAGATCATTTACTATATTTTTATATATCTGGCAACTGCGAAGGCTACTGAAAAATTTCTTATCTTTAATAATGATTTGACTTCCTTGATTTCAGTGGAAATTCTGTTTTCATATGTGATTTCACCCTTGTACTCACATAAATGGAGAGTTAAAATAATTATTTTATCCTAAAATCATAAACTGTATTTTGCCTTATTTGGTAAAAATGGAAAATAGCATATCAGGCTTATGAACTAATGTAGACAGGTACAACTTCAATTAAAACTGCAACTTCAATTAAAGCTGCAATTAAAGCTGCAACTTAGGAAGTAGAAATTACTCCCTTCCATCTATTAAATGGTCTGACAGTGGTTTGAAAATAATACTAAGCCTCTAAGAAGTGAGTGATTTACTACCTTCTGGTAGAATCAAATATCCTGATTGGGTTAAACTATTTATGGTCAGTTCTGAATAATCCATGAGTATATTATCCACTTTGTAGATAATCTACAATGACACAATTTGTGTGGGGTTTTTTTTTAATGTAAATTTATATTAGTCAGTTAAAAAAAGAAACTACACAAAATGCATATGACTGCATCCATTTGTCAGTTTCCATTCATAATTTTTCCCACAGAAAAGGTTGTGTATTGGTTCATTCTATCTCTTTTGGACCCCACTTTCTAACTTTAATAAGC